AAACAGCCTTATGTAATACCTAGTGATGCTGTAGAGAAAGCAGGATGTCTTGCTATGTGACTGTTGATTATATCTACAGCCTTGAAGTTTTTATTTTTCTTCAGCATATCGACAGCACATCTTGACAGTCTATCTGCAATAGTGGGATCCACTCCATAACTTAGGAGCATCTGCACATCATCTGTTTGACCTAAACCATAAAAAGAAATGCAACTGAGAGAAAGCATGGGCCTCTGTTTATGGGGAGGGGGCAGGGGAGTTATTGCCATAGTTCAAGTGCTGATTACAGAAAAATGAATAGCTCGATATTACATATGACTGCCACTATCTATCTGTTTCCTATATAGTGGTTTTCATCCATAGATCTCCATACAATGTGTATGTGTACAGCATCATTTCCCTCATTTTATAGATAGGAAAACTGAGGCACAAGGTCTAAGAACATACAGCAGGACAGTGGTCAAGCTAGACACTGAATCCTAAGTCTCCTATGTCCCAGCACAGTGCTTGAGCCATTAAGTTGGGCCTTACATAAAAAAGGCTTTTATGGGGTGATCAATAAAGACAGATTCTTCATAATATCCCACATTCTTAAGTATGAAAACAGAGCAAAGCACCAGTTTCATTCCATATCAAGAAGAGAAGATCATCTAAGCATTATTAAGCCTTGCAATAAAGCTCATCACCATTTTGCTAAATACAATATTGTTTTTGCTCCCTTCAACAGAAACTATACATGTCTTAGAACAAACAATAAATCAAAAGAGTCTCAAAAGCATCAACTTGGTTTTGAGGCCTTGCCACAATAAGTTGACCAGGAATCCAAGTATAAGCCTATTCCACACTTCAAGTTCCCAGAAAGTTTATACAATAGGTTAGAGAGTCCTCTCCCACCTCACTGCTCTGTGCAACTTAGTCTTAGGGCCATGATGAAGGTAGATTCAAAAATAATGATTTTCCAGAGACTCAAGCAGGGAGAAATTAAGATCACACTTGGAAATCTAATAGGTTTAACAAGACCATGCCTAAAATATTTTTAGTGTACTAGAAGGCAACATATTCATTAATGCACAGTAGTTACTGTGCATTAAATTTAGTACGTGTATAATCAAGTAGTAAATTAATGTGCACTAACCACAGTTACTGTGCAGTAGCACCAGAGCACACCTTTTTAGTGAAGCTATGCAGTCACCTAATAATACTGTGCAGTTGCATATTAGCTCTGTTTGGGCAGTGACATGCTACTATGCAGTATTATTAGGCTACTGCACAGTTAGCATCTAATGTAGACATGCCCAAGAAGATGTGTACTCCCCTTACCTCAGGACAGGGGAACGTCTGCTTTAAGCCACACCCACCGAACAGCCAGGAGATCAGCCAAGCAAGCAAGTGAAAGAAGCATTAGTCATGACTTGATGACCTTTTCATTTTCCCAAGACACTGATAAGAGGTGGATAAGAGACAGTGATAGAAGGTAGGAACCTCCTACCACTGTGTCCCTACTTGCTAGAGCATCAAGGCATAACCCGGCTGGAAGAAAATCTGGGAAGAAGCAAAACACTTTACGTATGTAATGCCTGGCTTTGTACATTCACACCTTACCATTTATGGTTTTGTGTGGTTTTTTTTGGAAAAGCAGATGGCTGTGAAATTTCTTCCATCATCTGCTTCTTCTATCACTACTCATTTAGCAGCAGATGGGATGGCTATGAGAGATGAAATGCGACTCTTCTACAACTAACTCAATATTATGAATGAGACTACCACAGACTATCAAAAATGCAGTAGGTCAGCATTTAACCAAGTAATCATGGGATCAATACTGATGCTCATTTCCTGTTGCCACCCAGTGGAATTATTAAGAAATGCAAGTAAAAATAATAATAAAGCTAAGTTTCTACAGTTGTAACTAGGGGAAAAAAGGAAATTCAGAGGTGGCATCATAATTTGACCTTTACAAGAAACCCCTGAAAAACAACTCAATGTGTCACACCTAAGACAAGACATATTTTACAAATAAACACAACTCCAGACCTATTCAGGTCTAAGCCCTTATACAATTTATAAAGGGCATCAAAACTTAGAAATATCAAGAAGAAGAAGAAAAAAAGCTGCACCTAATGGATAAACCAATGATTCTGAACCAGAGTGCCAGAGCACTCTGAGGTGCCACCAGATCCTTAAGGGTCCCCAACTTGTGAGAAGATAAGCAGATAAGCTAAGCAGATGCTTGCTCCTCCTTGCCTGCAAGTTCCCTAGCCCTATGGCCCAGACCCTGTGTGAGGAGGTAAGCATTGTAATATAAATTAGTTTTTGAAATTGGGTGCCACTCAATTCACAAAAATTATAAAAGGTGTGTCTTGAGTCCAGTGAGCGGTGCCTCAAGTCCAAAAAATTTGAGAACCAGTGGGATATATCTTCAATCAGAAAAAAGGAATCCTAACATTGTATCAGCACTCTTGAAACAGATACTGTATTTGCTGTGGTTATTAAGGTTACATTCACACTACAAGCCTTTCCCATTCTTCTTCTTGGCATGCATTAAAGCACATCAGTGTCTGGAGACTTTCCCACCCCCAGCTTTTACCAAAACAAGCCCAAAGATGGAGGGGAAAAAAAATCCATCCTTATTTACATACGTTGCATGGAATATCCATTGGAATGAGATGCCACAACATGTAGGACCGTGCAGCCATCACTGTCTTGCTGGTTGATACTACCCTTCAAGTCTGGTTTCTGGTCTAGCAGCCATCTGAAAAGACCACTCCCTTCTGAAATGAGAAAAAAAAGGTGTCACAAAACTGTGCACTGTTATATTAAAACAGAAGGAGGAGGAAATAATATTATATTTTCTCTTGGAGTGAAAGAGACCCTCTCACAGACCCTTCCTTTTAAGACGGAGAGTGAATGACAAAAGACAATTGAAAAGCATCAACAAATGGTGCTATGGGTCAACGTCTTTGTTGGACACAGAACCAAATTTTGGCCGATTCATAATATATATGCAATTCTGGTCTTGATCTACTGATTTTTAACCTGTTACTCAAATCAAACAGACAGACAGACTGCTATTATTTTCAAAGTTGACATTTATAGCTACAATGCTTTGGCTTTTAACCAAGGAAAATGGTGTTTCAATGTTAGTATTGGGATCATATGACTTCCAAAACACACCTGAACAAAAGGAATGATGCTTGAGTAATATTTTTTGTAGTAAATTCTTGAGCTATAGAAGATAATCTCCCGATATGATTTGGTTTGAGATTTTGTCAAATATGGTTTCAGTTACAAATTTTCTGGAGGCTGGCCTTGGTTGCCTTTGTTTTATTTTAATATGGATTGCTGCTTACTTGTTTTGATGCAGAGTTTAACAATAGCATGAAGTGGATAAGCTCCAATGCTCCCAACGTTTGCTCCAATGGAGATAAGCCATTCCACCAGTTGTGGTAAACTGTCTATTCTGTCATATTGTCCAAAGAGAACATATTTCTGATAACAAAGAAATAAGTAAAAACATTATAGAGTCGCATTATTCTACAATGCATGACAGAAATTCTCTTTCCCAGGGTTATTTTCACCTCATCCAAAACAAGAGTTTTTCATTACTTAGGAATTTGATGCAACAATGACAATGCAACAGAATAAAGGTGTTTGCTTTACCTATTACAAAGTTGAACTGCAAATATATTTATTTGCATTCAACAGCACCTAAAAGCCCCAACTCAGTGATGGCCCCAATTTGCTATGAACTGTTCAACAAAAAAAGACAACACCACAAAGCAGCTGTCTCTGCCCCAAAGAACTCTAATTTTACACTACGTACTATGTATTAGTAATATATATTCTATATTTTGTACGATACATATACTATTTATCTACCATAGTAGTATTGCATAAATCTCTCCTTTTCTGTACTGATGATACCAAGTCTTTTAGGGCCAGAAAACGTAGTTTGCAATCACACTAGTACAGGATGCAACATTATAAGGCTTCACAGGTGATTTTTTTTTTTAAACAGGGAATTTCAGTTCAACCACTGGAGAAGCCTGGCTTGGCTCCTAGACCATGGGCCTTTTACAGATTATCTATACCACTTGCATCTACTAGACAGGAGATACGCCCCATCTACCCTGAAATCACTACAGCAGTTTTAAACTAGCTAGCTTGGTATTGGATAGCAGCAGTAGTGCTAGCTGCTACCCCACCCCCATCCAACAATTTTGATTAACACTTATGTAATTAGCCAAGTAACAAGCTACACTGCTGGGAGCACCCAGACAGGCTACTTTAAAACCAGTGTGGATCCCAGAGACAATTTTTTCTGCTACCATTATATGCAATCTTCCTGAAAACCATACAGTACATTTAATGCTCTTTAAAATTTACTTTTGCCCTCCCTCCCTCTTTCAGCATTTCTCTGTTCCCCATACCAACCACATCACTGCTGTCTACTGACACAAGTATAAATCAAACCCTATTTGAAAGTTATATAGTAAAAATACTAGTACAGTGCTACTGAAATACTGGTTTGGTGGCATCTTCTAGTATTCTACAACAAATATGTTGTATGCCCACTATTTACTAGCCAGTAAATGCAGTTCTGTATAGCTTGCTTTCTATCCCCTGAAGTACAAATTTTTAATGGACCTCTCTAACATCTTTTTAAGATGCTAAAGAGAAGAGATCTCTTAACGCAATCACTAGAAGAAACTTAACAGAAGACAGGTAACTTGTTAAATAAAATACATATAAACAGTACCTCAAAAAGATCCTTTAATGATAACTGTGTTACTCTGAGATTTCTTGGCAATCTGTCCTTCTCAGATACCAACAACAAGAAAGACTAGGAAAGAAAAGAACATTTCGAAGCATTTAGATAGTATGCTTAAAATTCATTTAGCTGAATTATCAAACATTACAAGGGAAAACTAAATAAGTACTATCGACAAATATTTTCTTTTTGTGTTGCCTATCATTTGTACTTACTACTCAGATTCTCAAGAACAAAACCTCCTTTCCTTTCTTGTTTGTTAAAATTATACAATTTGGTGCACACTTCCCAGCCCTTGCTCAGATGCATTTCTTATCAGGCATGTGTCAACATAATTTAGATACATTTGCTATCATATTCATACAAAGCATCATCTGTGACAAAAGCATATCCCTGGGAACATATTTGTTAACTTGCGATCCCCCTGGTACTCTAAAGTAAAATCACTGTGGACTTAGCATAAAAATTGTAGCTATTGAAAAATTTCCTCAGTAACACAGGAATGGCTTTATATAAACTACAAGGATATTCTTCATCTGTGCATAGCAGAACCTTTTTTTGGGTCACATCTACTTCAAATTTTTCTTCTTATACAGAAATTATCCTTAACAGGTCAAAACATTGTCCTTGCTACATATTCTTCTGTACACATCTGAAAAGAGGACCTCAGCAGCGACAATGAAACAATGATAACTTTAACAACAGCTGAGAATCTGTTAGCATAAAAAAAACCAAACCCAACTTTGAGGAAACACATGTAACCTACCACTATATTTTTCTATTTTGCCATTCTTATCTTGTTCCTCAATTTCTTGATTATTTTTTTTACAGATACCAGGTCTTGGACGAGGTACTTTCAGCAAATTTATGATTACTGATAGTACTGGACTGAAATCACCCTAGTGCTCCACTGAAAACAAGCCATCATGCTATTTCTATTAAGAGCAAAGTGCAGTTTTGAGGGTACCAACATATTATGGAACATACAGCACAAAAATGTGCATTGAAGAATCAAGTGATGGCCTGTCAATAACTTAAACGTCAAACAGACTTGAAAGCCGCAACAACTTCTAATTAATCGGCTCAAAAATAAAGAATTAAAATTACTGTAGATACTGCAACTTGTACCATTCTTGTGGTTTACTAAAATTCCCATGAAGATAGCTGTTGCTTCTCTGTTAAGACCTACACAAATTATTTCAACAGATTGACTGGCCATACAGTACAAGTAATAAAAGGGACCATAACAAAAATGAACACAAATAGGTACTTTTCCTCCATTTCTTTCCATCACAAACATTTGAGGTAGAGTTGTAACTATAATAAACAAGTCAACAGATAAATAAACAAATTAGATTTCTACATTTATATGACTCCTATGCTGCATTCCCCAGGGTGGCCTACAATAGAAGCCATGAGTCATAAAGAGAGATGAAATATTAAAATAAAATAATAAATGATAAAACCATGCCCCCTGTAGATTATGTCCCTTTCAAAAAGGGATGAGACTCTGACAAATTATGTTTTATCTGTTTCTACTGTAAAAATCAAGACATTTGGATACAGTGACAATTAATGCGTGTTATTTTAGATTTAAAAGGCAATTTGGGAAAATCAAAATGATGCTCAAGAAACAGCAAAAAAAGTTAGAAGTGCACTGATAGAGATTTTTGGGGCTGATACCGATAGCCAATTTTTAAGGAGGCATATTGGCTGATACCATTCCAATTTCCGATACACAGCCCGGCAGCATGGAGCGCTGCAGGCAGCTGGTAAGTCTGTTGTGGTGGAAGGGGAGGGAGGAGGGAAGGGACGTAGGGGGCAGATCAAGGCCCCTGCAGTGAGGGAGGGAGTGGGGGCTGGGGCAGGGTGTGCTCGGGGCTGGCAGCACAGGGAATGGGGGCTGCAGCCACCTCAAAAATTCACCGTAGTCCCCTCAACACCTCCTCCCAGCACTGCCACCACCTGCCTTAAGTGCAGCCCGGCCAGCTCCGCTGCCACGAAGAGCCCAGCACAGCCCCAGCCCACAGGCATCCCATTCCATGCCACCACGCACATGCGCACAGCTCCAGGGGCACACGCAACCCCACGCACACACCCCGACCCGGCCATGACCCTCCCAGGTTGTGCGCACCAGCAGGAGCCACCCTACCCTCCATGCCCCCCCCCCCCAACGACCTGGGGC